TGTTGATAAATCGATTTCTTTTGTTGTTACCATGAGAATCTGAAATAATGAAGGTCGATATATCGAAGTGGTAACGTTGCTTGGGAAGAAATGTACGTATCACCATAGTAACTTATTTGTTACCGCACTATGATTTTGTGGGAGAGAAATTTAAATTTCTTACGACCCAGAGGCCACAATAGACGTGTGAACTTACGTACCTCACAGTAACATACTCCTCTGTTTCTAACCTAGCAATAAACAGAGTATGGTTGGGTTTACAAAATTGGGTTGGGGGGGGGGGTTAGTGAATCAAAAAACGTCCCACAAAATGTCTAGAACGAAATGGAAGAAACTTATCTTTTGTGGGAAATTTAAAATTATACAAGAACAATTTCGTGGTGTGAGAATTATGCATAGGCATAATGAGTTAATATATGAAGAAATTAGTAGGCCTACAAAATGTTCTTGTCAAGTGTTCAACATATAATCCCTCCCACCACCATAAATGGACCACGTAAGAACTGTCAATAGTCGTGAAGACGAGACGGTTGTTCTAGTCGTGATTTTCTCCAATCGGGATCCCGAATTTTAAAATTATTGTCGATTAACTGAGAAAAAATCTTCTTTTGTTCTAGAACCTGGAGATCCGTTTTAACAAGATATGTGTACCTTTATATGAAGTTCGTCTTTAACTGAAACCTCCAATAACAACATATCCCCTTCATATTCAAATAGCCCTTTACTGCGACCAATTAGAACAGAGAGCCTCCAATAAAATGCCTACAGTTCAGGGACCTTGAACCCGGCATTAGTTTTAACCCCATAGCAGAATTTCTTTTCAAAACCTAATCCATGTACGTATATATAAATTTATCACATCCCATTAGATTGGTTTCATGCCAGAGATATTTATTGAAAAATTAATGTATAAATAAATATGTACGCTTATTTAAATTATATATTCAAAATGTTCCGTCTATTATACCCGATGAGGTGGATTTTTTCAATTGACCTAACCCTTCCAGCCGCATTATGGCCCTGGGGTCGAATCAGCCTCTAACAGAAATGAGTACCAGGAATCTTCCTGGGAGTAAAAGGCGGCCGGCGCATAAGGCTGACAACTTCACCCCCATCTGTGAGCCGATTGTCTAGAAAATGTGGGAGTCTCAACCTCTCAGAACTCTGTGGGCCTCCACGGTCTGTTACAGGGATAGCTGTACCATTCTTTACTCGTCTATTAAACGTTGGAAATGAACCGGGTCTATTTTTTAACAGAGAAAAATCACTTTAAAACTTGAATTCTTATATAGACAGTTTTGTTCCTATAGATATTCCAATAGTCGCAAGTTTATCTGCGGCTTATTTAAACGTCACAAACCATATTTGGGTCACGAGCCATAAGTACGAGGCCATTGAATCGGGATGTTCATGTATATATGTCCACAAAACACTGATATATAATAATAATAAAAGAAGAAGAAGAAGAAAACAATTGGGGGTGGGATACGAAATGGTTCTATATATACTTGATAATGATTCTATCCTGTTCTGTTGGTCACGCGTCAGTTTCGTGTCAGTACCACAAGTTTTATGTCGGTATTTCAGATCTCTGTAATTCCTGATAATTAATTATAGAAGAGGCATAAAAGGTACCTTTCAATACGTGATCTATCTACACATATCCCTGTTGTTCACACTTGCAGCTCAGGGCATCCGTGAAACGCTTAGTTTCACTTCAGTTTCTTAATCTTAGACAGTCGGAAGGGCTCCTTGTACGGGGGAACAGCCAGTCGCAAGGCCGCTACCTACACAGGACAACACAAACACAGAATAAATGCAGACAAACATCCATGCCTTGAGTGGGATCCGAACCAATGATTCCCCCAGTGTTCGAGCGGACGAAAACGGTTCTTGCCTTAGACCGCGCATCTGTGTCTGTGTGCGTTTATTCTGTGTTTGTGTTGTCCTGTGTTTAGGTAGAGGCCTTGTGACGGGCTGATCACTCACCCAGGAAGTCCTACCGTCTGTGAAGAATGATTACGGAACTGAATAAGAGGTCTGGACCCTGAATTGGCTGGGAGAGCCATAGAAAAGTTTTTCAGGCTTCAAAAGAACCTCCCGAAATTGGGATCTTTTTCTCACCGGCGTCTTCAGGAGAACTGACCCTAAAATACTACACATATCACTCATGTCGCTACGGTTATTGATGAGTAGCTAAAGGTGCGTCCACATTACTCGTGCTCGTGTGACTCGCGAGTAATGTGGACGATATGACAAATCACGAGACAAGCAAATTTAAAATTTTTAATTTATAAACTGTAGCCAATAAATTAAAATGCGACTGCAGCCTATACGCACTACGAGTAAATATACGGATCCTCACGCGCCGAAGCCTGGCGAGCAACTGAAGTAGTGTGGACGAAGATTTACGGGCACATGTAAAAGCCAGAGGAGTCTCCCGACCAGCACAAGCCTGGCGAGCACGAGCACGAGTAATGTGGACGCGCCTTAAGACACAACACTATGAGGAGATTATTTGACCTGAGAAAGGCGAAGGAATATGAGAACAAATAGAATAACTAACCCCGCAAATGAAAGGTTTCCCTTGAGCTAACAGGGCACCTATTATGAGCCGGCTAACCCCTCTTTAGGTCTCTCAAGCGCATACACGGAATAGCTGTAATTAATTGTAATACCGGCCTACGCGATTATATTTGTGAATATGTCTATATTAATCGATAAATCACGTGGCAAGATAACTGAAGTATTCAACACAGTATTCTGGTATGTGACACCGCGTACTCTGATGGAAAGGTATCGACGTTTCGGAGAAACCCATTGCCTCTATCCCTAAAGACGGACCTATCCCTCAGCTTACATGTAGCCACATTCGAGACGGCAGTCATCTTCATAGTCACTGCCTTTAAAATTTCAAATCCCGCTGTATATCTAAACGGTTTATCAATTAAACAGGTTGTTAATCAAGTGACAGGCATGTAGGAACTAGTTATGACCATATATTAGTCCAAGTTGTAGAGCAATAATTTGGCTTGTTGATTAAACTAATCTTTAAAATATTCACGTTTGAATCTTGAAATTTTATTGATTATTCTGTCAAAGATTTCTTGCGACTTTCCACCACAGATACAGAGAGATTCCACCCTAAACAAAATTACGACCTGTTCTTGCCATATTATTTTCAATTGAGCATTCACAACTATAACTTTCGGTATAATACAATAACCTACCTAGTCTGAAGAGCTTCGTTAAATAACTCATGAATCAATGAGTTCTTAATATTCAACAGCCCGACTTTGTATAATTAAATACTTAAAGATTCATATCCAACGAAAATGAAATACTTACTCGATTTGCAAATAAGGGGCATGAGGTAGGCACAGGTAAGTTTTTCGATCAAATTCGAATGAACTCAATTTAATTAAGCCCTATGAATTCGGTACTGCTAATTTCACAACAGAACATCACGATAAACTACACAGCAGGTTGGTGTGGAGGTAAGGCTCCGGGCAACTATTAGGGACGTGCTGGGTTGAATCCTCAGATGACACACAGGATATCATGACTGACGGGGTTTTTCGCATTTTTTTCTCCCTTCTGTTTCTTCAGGAAAATGTCAGAATAGTATTGCGAATAGACAAACACCACTTCCATTCAAATCATTTCCCATTAATCGATCATACAAACATTCAATGCTATATAACCTGATATAAACAGAGGAAATAGCCCTCAGAATTACTGGGTTTTAAGACTTGTCCGTCTTCCGGTATTCTAGAAACTAGAAAACACAACGTTTCTGAAATTGGATGTGTTTCTGTCCTCATTAGAGCGGGGAGGCACCCACTCTGTTATGTCCCTTAGAAAGAGCTAACCTCCATCAGTGGACTAGTGACTGTGATTAGCTGTTTCTAAGTGACCCAACAGAGTAGGTGTCTCCCTCTCACATGAGGACCTGGCTCCGTGACTGAGGTTACCTCTTTCTAAGGGACAAAACAGAGTTGGTGTCTCCATCTCACATGAGGACCTGGCCCTGTGACTGATGTTAGCTCTTTCTAAGGGACCCAACAAAGTAGGTGTCTCCCTCTCACATGAGGACCTGGCCCTGTGACTGAGGTTAGCTCTTCCTAAGGGAC